ATTTTTTTAATATTTATAGGTCGTGATCAAAACTGGTAACCTTATTCTTTTGAAAACTACAGCATTGAAAGTGAAGTAAAGGCAATGTTCTTCATTAAGACAAATTGACTTCAATATTTTATTCCTCCTTAACATTGATATTCTTGATTATCTGGACTATTTTGTGTAGTCCCAGTGAGTCTGGAAAATCGAGGTTCAACTGTACTCTGTCAAGAATATGTTTAACCCTTGAACACCTCCTTTAGAGTGATTAACAGGTATTTTCTCACAATATTATCCCTTAATCACACATTAAGGTCACAAGAATAAAGGAAAGGATCACCAACTAAAGAAGTTCTCGATTGTTAATCAAATTCTCCTTGTCAGCACCTTAGGAAATGTATAGAGAACAGTATGGAGAATATGCATGCATACTGATGTCAGGGGTAAAGGGTTAAGTGAAGCACAGGTGCTTTTGTTGACCTTTATATGTTCGTTCTTTTGAAAGCACCTTAGATTAGTGAGACAACTGACCATATAAACTCACGCAACAACTGTGATGATTAATACGTGAATCTTTAAAAATGCATTTTGAAATTAAGTTACATTGTGATATAAAGCCATTTTGTTCTTCTTTTTTTTCCACAGTAAAATGCTAGAGTACATCAAGGATTCCAAAATGCATGTTACAGAGGAAGTGTATTCTGCTCTTGTCACTGCATATGGCCGCACTAGGTACGTTGATAGCCATATTCATTATGTATGCGCAACGAGGTGGTCTTATGATCAGTGCGCTGGACTCTAAGTCAAGGGGTCAGGGTTCAAGACCTTGGAAAGTCAACGTGATGTGTTCTTGGGTAAAACATTTTACTGGGGCAGACTGAAATGCTGGGAGAGGGGATAACCTTATGATGGACTAGCATCCCATCCAGAGTGGGGTAGTGATATTTTAGTTGCTTCATGCCAAGGAAACTGGGATAAGCCCCACTGGGGTGGGTGGCTTCATAATAATTTATAACAATAATTTAATATTTATATTACACAAATTAACATTGGGATATGATCAGTTGTGGGGGACTTAGCAGACTGCTTGTAGCAGTTTATAATTCTTTATGACGTAATTTTAACAGATGCCCCCAGTTTCAGTAAATAGGCCAGTCCACAACACTGGGAGCTACGTTCCCTTCTCTTTGTGATAAGTGTGTGGGTTCTTTAACGTCCCCTGCTAACAAGCACTGAGAAGATTCAGGAGATGGGACCAACGGTTTTTTGTCCTTATCCAAGAAGACTAGAATATCTTTCCATTTCTTGATATAATAGAAAGGTAGCACATTCTCCTCAGTTATTTTAAGACCTTGAGTGTTGGTCCGGCCTGGCGGTTGAACCCTTGACCTCCTGCACAGCAGTCTGGCATGCTACCATGAGCTAACCAGGCAGCGGTTGAGTACAGACTATTGACCCTTTCCTTCCCAGAACTTTTTAGTAATTCTCTTTACTGTCTGCTATTCAATTCTTATGATGGAAGTATAGAGAATTTGGTAGTGGGTCAACTGATAAACCCCTAATTGATGTTTTTCTTCATCCTCATCACTTGTCTGCTGAAATTCTATTGATATTGTTAACATGCATACATACAACATACATACTTTATTTAAGGTATCCAAGAATAAACGACACAAATAATACCCTAAAAAAGGAAGTTTAAGAGGTTAACCCTATGTAAATAAACTTCCAAAGAAATAAAATTTAAAAATGTATGCTTATGATAAACTGGAAGATGGATAAAAACCTAAGAAGTATGCATGTATAATTTAAGAGCTGTTTTGAAACGTATTAAGTTACCTATCTCAACAACACTGGCAGGCAGGTCATTCCATTCATGAATGATTTTAACAAAAAAAGAGTATTTATAACAATTACATTTTGCCAATTTAACCTGCAGTTTGTAATTGGACCTAGTACGTTTTGAAGCAAACTTAAAAAAATCCCAAAAATGATTTAAGAGAAATGAGAATTTAATGAGTTAAGAGAAATTCTGTCTTGGTCACTCATGATAGTTGAAGGGGCAATATCATTTGCATTATATAAACTGTTAGCTATCACTGATTGTGAGTAAGGTGAAGCAGTTCTTGTTATCTGATTGAAAAATACTGGAGTAAGGCGAGCCTTTCATTTCAGAATTGTCTGCTTTGATCAATCAGATGGAAATGCAAATTTTTTTTTTAGTTGACTTTGCCTTCTTCACAACTTCTGGGAAATCTTGAATGTTGCAGAAAAAATTTTCTTGTTAGTTTTTCACCAATGGAACTTTAAACACAATTTTCATGGTCTCCCATAGATTTGAGATTTATCTTCAAATGTTAAATTTTGTAGTGTGCATACACTAAAGGTTTAATGGCATGCACATTTGTATCTGAGGTGGATATTAGGCTTGGCTGTTGTTGATCTTCAGCCATATTATTTACTCCACAGAGACATGGAGAGTGCCAAAGGTGTATTTGACCTCATGAAGTAAGTGCAAATAATATTATTTCCTCAATCCATTGTTTTTGAGCGTGGTTGTCATTAGGATTAACAAATCAACAGAAATTTAGCCTGATCTTCACTCTTACCAACGATGATATTTGTCATCATGGTGGTCAAAGTGATGTGGATTCACAAGGTACAGCTGAGTGAGTCTGCAACAAATTTTGACCAATGTAATGGTGAACAGTGAACAGTCTTGTTAAGAGCACAGACCACACTAATCCACTGCTGATTTGTTTTTTTACCACTATATCAATGTTGAATAAAACAATTCTTTCAGTGTTGAAGGCATAGTGTGACATGTTGATGCAAGCAGAGTTGTCTGTTCTCTTATCAATAATGGCAAATTGGCTAATCAGATTGCAACATTACCAACAATAGTAGTGAAAAATGTAGTAGAAGTACAATGTACATGTTTGTTCTGAACTGAGGAGGCAGCTGAACTGAATTATGCCTGCATACCAAATTTTCCCCAGAGGGGTGTGTTGCTATGCAACTTGGTTAACCACTTGACACCTCTTGCCTAAGCTCAATTACCAGCTGCTGTTTGGGAACTGGAGCCCATGCTCCTCCCTGAACCCCCAAGGAGAAGCAAAAGAGACTGGACTCAAGAGAGCGGCAGAAATCAAGCCTATCCCTTGCCTCCCTGAACTGAAACTCTTTTAGGCATGATTTTTTGCATTCTGAGGAATATTTTTATTAGTAACATTAATTTTTTTTTTGAGCCAGATATTGATGTTAGAATCAGTTCAAACATGCTTAATATTTTGTCTTTTATCACAATTCACAAAAGTAGCCAATACAAAATGGTCCAAGAGACATATCAAGCCTCTTACCAGACTCTTACTGTTTTCTACAGTAATTTATTACAGTCTTGAGAAGTCAAAAAGCCTAACGTTTTACAGATTGTTTATAACCCATGCTTCAATTTCAAGTTTGATTAAAGACATTTCTGTGTTAATTCCATTTTTTTTTTCTTAACAGAGAGAATAATTTGAAGCCAGACACTGACAATTACACTGCACTGCTTTTGGTTCATGCAGAAATTGGAGACGTGGAAGGCATAATGGAGGTGACTGATTTTCTCCCTACATGTAAATTAACCAAATATTTTTTAGAAAGATTTTTAACCCTGTATCCATATATTATCAAGCAAACAGATAATGAAAATACTCAAACTTTTCAGGTAGAGGTCATAATGTTGATCTAACATCAAATTCTTTTTTAACTAAGTTACAAGGAAATGTGTAGCAGCTAGAAGGGGAGAATTAACAATCAAATCCTGGGAGTTACCCTTTAACTTCAAAGAGTGACTAGCATCTAGGCAGGGCTCGACACTAACTTTTCAGCTAACTAGCCAAGTCGCTAGTGTCATCTTAGATGTTTTTAGATGTTACGACAATTAATTTTTTTGAGTTTGTTTACTTGCCAAACTGGCTATTGGAAATTAAAAACCACTAGCCAAAACTGAATTTCTACCAGTCTGAGGCTAGTGGGCTACCGTTAGTGTCAAGCCCTGATCTAGGGGTACTTTCTCCTATGACTATCACCCCTGGACTAAGCATCAAGATTGAGAGAATAAAGGAATTGATCACCAACATAAGCTTTTTATTGTTAAACAAATTCTCCTTGTCAGCTCCTTAGGAAATGTATAGAGAACAGTATGGAGAATATGCATACTGATGTGAGGGTTTGAAGAGTTAAAGGGTGAATATATAACTTTCCTTTGATAGACGCTTCAAACGATGCAAGAAAATAATGTGCATCCCAGCCAGAGGATGTTTTTAGTGCTATTGGATACACTTTCAAAGCATGGACATCCTGAAGTTATAAAAGCGGTACAGTGTGTATAGATCTATATCAACTAAGTTAAAATTGTGAATTGGCCACCATAAAGAGTTAAAAAGCTGACATTTCGAGGGTTAGTCCCTCGTCGGAGCAAGTGAAGAAGGGCTTTGATGCTGTGACGAAGAGCTAACACTCAAAACATCAGCTTTTTTACTCTTTACGGTGGTCAATTTACAATTTCAACTTTGTTGATATTACCAAATTACCTTGTTACCCCCACTGACACAGTACCACAGTTTTTTTAAGAAACTTACCCCCTTTATGTTTATAGATCTTGTTTTTTATCATATAGTGCATGACTATATAATATCACCTTTTAAAAGTGTTGCTTTGATTCTGTAAATCCTCTGTTTAGCATCGTCCCTCTAATGAGCCACCCCCCTCTAATATAATGAGCCTCCCCCTCTAATATAATGAGCCTCCCCCTCTAATATAATGAGCCACCCCCTCTAATATAATGAGCCTCCCCCTTTAATATAATGAGCCACCCCCTCTAATATAATGAGCCTCCCCCTCTAATATAATGAGCCTCCCCCTCTAATATAATGAGCCTCCCCCTCTAATATAATGAGCCACCCCCTCTAATATAACGAGCCTCCCCCTTTAATATAATGAGCCACCCCCTCTAATATAATGAGCCTCCCCCCTCTAATATAATGAGCCTCCCCCTCTAATATAATGAGCCTCCCCCCTCTAATATAATGAGCCTCCCCCCTCTAATATAATGAGCCTCCTTTTTTAGAGGAAGAAATCTATTGAGGTCCCCCCCCCCCACTCCTCTCCTTCAAGAAACTTAAATTCAAAATAACACTCCATGTCAGTATGTATGTTGAATTTATTCAAGTACTGTAATTTAATTGTACAACTCATCAATCTTCACCAATTTGGTAAATGAAAAAATGTAAAATGAGAACAACTTTTGAATAACTACGGTACATCATATCCCATTGTATCCTGGTATCACGTGAACCATTGGGGTAAATTAATAAACCTCCCTTCTCATAAGCCAAAGTGCCTGAAATAAATAGGCCCCCAGGGGGGCTCTTAAGAGGATTTACAGTATGTCTGAAGCTTTTAATGAGTGATGCATAAAATTCCACCCCTCATAACCGTGCATGCCATTTCATTATTGCTTAACTTTGTTTTTCCAAAGCAGTTTATCTCAATTTGTGTCATTCTTAGATCAGACCTGCATTCAGTAAATTTATTGATGTATCTAACTATCATTTGATCTTTTTTGTACAAAGCTTTTAGATACACCCCATATCTTGGATTTTGTTCAAAAAAGTAAGTTTAACAACTCACGTTATGTACTTGTACATGACCATGTATTTCATCATTATTTTATTTTCGAGTAATTTTACATGTCTTTACACATACTAGTCTGAATACACCCTGCATCTGGGATTGTGGGGGCAGGCACTTTATCAAGCACAGTGCGTGTATATAATTATCTTATTAGACGCTTTGTTGTGTAGTATCGTTGAGTATTTTTACGAGTTGTTCCGTATTTTGAGGAGCCCGTAGGGCGAGTCAAAATACAATTAACGAGTAAAAAAACTAAACAATACTACACAACAAAACGTCTAGTAAGTTATTCATTATCCAACACGCCAAATTGTTATTTCAGTGCGGGCAAAATAATTTCTTGGATATTTATTTACGGGGAGTGCATGACAGAAGTATGCGAAGCGGAACGGAATTGGCACGTTGTCGTGTTGCTGTTCTATTTTCTATAAATGAAGAAATTTTCTGGTTGTCTGACTGTTTTCTTCATTTGATTCATCTAATAAGCTTGGATCTATATTTGCCAGCCATTCCGACTCTTCGTCATCAGAAATATGATTTAAATTGTCCGCCATTTTTTTTCGTAACTTCAATCCAATTCTTCGCTTGCGCGATGTAGGAAAACTTGTCTAACTGGTTCTCTGGAGTACAAATACCGTGTGATATTTGTACTCATCTATGGTGTTATTTGTACTCTATGGAGTGTAGTTGGATAATAAACAGTCTATACACTCTAGGTGGAGTCTCGGAAAACAAATAATATTTTATGATGAAGGCAGGGTTGAAACCTGGACTCTTCAAACTGAAGTTTCACACATCAAGAATGCTTGACCCTGCATCTCTAACTGCAAGGGGTTATAGCAACCAAAGTTGTATATTTACAGTACAATCTTATGTGTACTCAACAGACCTGAGGGATTTTTTGATAACAGTTTCAACACGAGGGGAGGTGAACACAGCCTTCCTTCTGCTGGGATATATGAAACAACCAACCAATGCCTTTGGTCTAACTACAGCTGAAAACAATGAACGTTTGTTTCTGAGGAACACAATCCTGTCGGGCCAGGTAAGGGCACTGTCTGATAAAAGGTGAAATAAGTTGACTCTCTATAGTGATTTCTCTGGTTTTGGTATTAAGTTCATTCCATAGATAAAAATTATTCCATGGAAAGTGTCTATGAACAATTTTTATTCATGAGTTTTGACACATCAAAATTGAAAACAAAAAAGTGACTTTTTTATGCATTGGGACAAGTGATTAAAAATCCTTCAAGCACTTCCCATGGTATGATGTTTTTATTTCAAACATACCGAGATTTTTTCTTTACTGACAGACACAACTGTGAAAATGCATCATTTGTCCAATCCGAGACATGAACGATAGAACTTCACCGTGTAAATCTCAGTATCTATGAAGTAATCTTATATTGTGCATCCTTACAGCACACAATTGTTCAGTCACATCGCTACACTTTATTTTTTTCTTAGTTCTTGCATTTGGACATCTCTTCCATAAATTTCACAAAAGAAACTGAAGGAATTTGGATGAGTGAAAGTCGCATTAAATCCCCTATGACCTTAAACACCCAGTCAATACATTCTAATGAATGTGTTGTTGAAAACCTTGAGTTCTCCTTTTCAAATTTTGTAAAAAGGAACTCCTGTTTTAATTTTTGTAGTCAATCGATACTATCATGATCACCATTCGTGAGCTGGAAAAACTTGGCCTTTTTGAACCAAAGAAACTGTATGAACTTGCTTTGGACAATAGCTACAATGCTAGAAACCCAGGTAGAGTACATGTACTATGGTTATGGAGCAGTTTTCTGTTGTGATGTTTATTTTATTGTAAATAAAATGGAAAGGTGGACTGTGGGTTTGGGTCTGATTGTCTGCATGATGATGGTCTTGAAAAAATGACTGATGTAAGTAGTCGTAACTGCTGTTTTGACAATCTCATCATGGTCAAGTGATGGTGAAGACAGTAGGGGCAACAGCCCTTGCCAGACCACGTGTTTAAATTTCCGTCTCTCTCCCTTTAACTGAAACAAAGTACTTTTAGTCCAAATAAAAAAGCTCAACCTGATCGGTCAGGTTTCAGTTTGTAATCTCCATGTTGGGACACGGTTCAAATTTTTTTTACTTGCAAAACTCAATATTAAGTAACTGGATTTTAAAGCAATTAATAATATGTAATCCCACCAATCACGCACCNGACAGCTTATCCGACGAGAACAAATACCTTCACCGTGTTTTTACGAAGAACAACTACAACAACGACTTCATCCGACGAAACACTCACCGACCCACTACCACTACCGAAACAAACGACACCGCAACCCCTACGACTACAGCAACCATACCGTACATAAAAGGCATGTCTGAAAACATCTCGCGCATCTTACTACCCTTCAATATCCGCGTCGCCCACAAACCCATCACCACACTACGTCAGTTACTAACCAACGTTAAAGACAAAGACGAACCGAGGAACAGACAGGGAACGATTTATAAGATCAATTGTTCCGACTGCCAAGCCTCCTACATCGGTGAGACTGGCAGAAACCTCACAACAAGACTGACTGAACACAGACGGGCGACGAGGAAAGGTGATGTCAGCAATCACATTGCTGAACACCATCGACTTACCAACCACAACATTGACTGGGACTCTGCGCAATGCCTAACCTACAGCACTGACTATTTTCAACGACTGACTCTGGAAAGCTGGTTTACTAACTTAGAACAGACTCCCCTAAACAGATGTCAACAACTACCCGCTCCATACAAACGACTCATTCACGACATAAACATCACAAACGACCGAAAAAGAACGACCTAACTTTACCGACAGATCGAAACAGACCAATCACGACCGACTTACGTCACTTGAGTCTTACAGCCAATAACATCACGGCAAAACCAACCGATCATTTCACACGAACTGGAATAAGAACATTCTACTGACAACAATCATTCACTTGACTCTGATGATGACTTCCGCACAGGTTGTCGAAACGTCAGTCACTACCACCGACAACAGTCCTTCTCAGGACTACACTCACCCGGACGATCAGACTACACCTTCACATTTCAACTTTGTTGATAGATTCTAATAATATGTTACTCTAACAATTCATAATGTTCAATTTTTCAGAACTTGGATTTATCCTCTTACAAGAAATGATGAAAAAGGCAAGATAATCAAGAACACGTTTTCTTTTATAGTCCATTTAATATCTATTTCATGTTTCCCCTTTTTAACATGAATAACGATTTAGTCACTAATCTAAGATGTAGGAGTGGATGGAACATTCACTCCCTTTTTTCGTTCCTTTGATTCTTGTTAAATTCTTCTAAATCCACTGACCAGTACATGTTTGTAAAGCCTAATGGCAACCCCATACCCTCAAGTAGAAAGAGGTTTATCCATGAAAAGGGATATATCTCAGAGACAGTGTTCCTGCACACTCAACAGCTTATGAACTTAAGCTCAAATTTCTCACTGTTAAACAGATTCAGTGCTGTTCGATGGAAGTAGTGCCCTGTTAGTGATTGGCCTTTTTATACAGAAACATGTCTATTCATAAGAAAGAAATGATAAAAAGATGGATTTTGCGTACTGAAGGACACAAATTTGTGGCTCTGCTGCGTCATATCTGCACATACTCGGCTTTGGTAGAAAATTTTCTAATCAAACAAGTTTAATTGTGACAACATGCAGACAATGAACATCTCAACCTGAGGACCATGTTTATCTTAAAAAATTTATCTTCCCATTTTAATTTACAGTACCAGGAAAAGCGTGAACACAACTTATTGTTTTAACTTATTCCTTAGGGAATCACAGTACGAAGCCATTACTTTTTTCCACTCCTGGCAATCCATGCCAAAAAGAAAGACCCTAAAGGTACATAAATAGATGAATAATAAATGATTTAAAATTCACTAATGGGCACATGAGTCGCACGTAGGCAACCATTATTGTACAGTGCTGCTCGCGCATACCTTTACCGAAAAAAAACGCATGTAAAACGGGCCGAAATCGCATGCAACAGCGAATGTGCGCGTCAAAATTTCGAACGTGCGCACATAAGCTTGACAAATCTGCCTCTTTAGTGTGTATGAGCTGGCCTTTTGTTTTTCTGTTATTGACTGTTTATTGTTTTGAAGAATAGACTTCAATGTAAGGGCACTAAAATACTTCACGACACGCAAAATTGTTCGTTTCAATCCCCGTTTGAACCGACCTTCTCGATATACAATAACATATTAATGCGACGTCGTAATCGAAAATATAAATGATTAGAATAAGAATCGTTTGTACATGTCTGACTACCTTGCGTCTGAGCGTATGAAATACGTCTGCGTAGTTAACGTATTCGCAAGCGGTACTGTATAATCAGTATTCCCATGTTTTTTTGTTATGTTAGTTTCTCTGATTAATAACAATAAATTAAAACAATATTTTATTTAAAAAAAATAAAACAATTAGGGATGATTCGTTGATTGGATGGGTAAACCTTTTCTACAAGCAGACATTTTGCTTATTGCCAGCACTAAGAAACTCACAAAATATTTGCAAGTATTTCTTATTCCAGGGCGTCATGTATTGGTACGTTTCCTCCAGTCGGTTTTATTCAAAGCCAGATTCAAATCAGTCCTCCAACTCCCAAAGTCTGATTGATGATTTCCCCCCTCTAGCTGCTACGTATTTCCTCGTAAATTGGTGACGAGAATTTGGTATTCAATCAAGGTATCAACTACTAGCTGATAAAGTTTGAGTATTCTCATTACCTGATTACTGGATCATGTATGGATATTATAAGGAGAAGTTTCATGTTCATCACTTCTGGGAATGAAAAGATTAAGTACATGTAACTACAGAAAACCAAACATCAACAAGGTGTTTGATGATCAAAAAAATTGATTGCCATTGCCAGATGTGAAACATTTACAACAGCGCTCGACCCTAACGGTACCAAACTAGCCACAGACTAGCAGAAATTCCGTTTTGGCTGCTGGTTTTCAATTTCCGTTAGCCAGTTTGGCTAGTAAACAAACTGAAATTGCCCAAACGTCAAAGATGTCGCTGGCCACTTGGCTAGTAAGTTGAAAAGTTAGTGTCGAGCCCTGCACAAACGAATGTAACGTATAGATATGTAATTGTTCTTGTGGACACTATTTATCCAGCGGCCCAGGATGTCTTTTCTCTGATGGCAAAGCATGGCTTTGAACTGGATGGCAGAGTGTGAGTGTATTTCATAATTCTGTTGACTGTCTGCTTTACAATTCTTTTGATGTTAGTTTGGAGAATTTAACATTTGATCCACCAATAATCCCCTAACTTGTATATATATATATATATATCTTTAATAAATAATTTATTGTCAAACACGCCAAATTGTTATTTCAGTGCGGGCGAATTTCGTGGATATTTCTTGAGTACAAATGTCGCGTGATATTTGTACTCGTCTCGCGCGTTATTTGTACTCTACGAAGCACAATTGGACAATAATTTTCTTTATTTTCATCACTTGTCTACTTGATATTGTATTGATACGGTAGGGAGAAATTCTGGCTTGATCAGTGGCAGGAGTGAAAGGGCTAACTCAGCTAAGAAAATGAAGAATTCTAATATTTTGCACGAGAGCAGTGATGAAAGTTGTAAGATAAATTCAGGGAAACCAAGACCCCTTTGAAAACTACAGTACTTTTTTAAGTTACCGCAAAGTAATGGCAGTCGCTACACATAGCAAAGCTTTGGCCAGTGCTTAAAGAGCCATCGCGTAAATTGCAAAATGGTTTCCAGCAACATTTTGACTACGGCAATGATAAATGTAGTTGTCGATAAGAGTACAGACCACGCTAAACCACATTTGATTTATTAAAATTCCCATTACCTACATGTAGCTTTTGTTAACGTAGGGATATTAGGAAAAGTTAGCTGTTTTAATCACTTCTGGCCCCAGTTGCTGGAAGGTCGGACGACGCTATCTACTGGAGAAATCTCTATCTGTTGTACAACCCTATACGTTTTCCACAGCTTAGCGATTTATATGTTTGATGGTGTTAATCCGCCCTTTTATACAACTGGGCTCTGGGCGTAATCAGGGTGGAATGTAGGTTTTAGTCCTTTTGGCAAACTTTACATTTGTTTCTGGCTTTTAACTCATTTTCTGTCTTTTCTTGTAGTTTGAAGTACCTTTTAGATTCGTTCAGTGAATCCAGTGGGAATGACTTAGAGATGGTAGTTGCCTTTACAAAGGTAAGATAAGTAAAATTTTGATTAAATTTTAAGGAATGCCTCAATGGTCATGTTAGAAAAGTGTGCAGAAATTTTTGTACAATTCGATTATCATGGACACAACCAGTCTGAACCTTTAAAAAATAGCGGCTCAGCAACTAATTTCTCAACTAATTTGTCAGCAACTAATTTGTCTTCGGCTAAGTCCATCGCCTGAGTAAAAAAAAATTCAGTGAAAAACAAAATTGAAGTAAGCGTGCCAATGGGAGCTCTTAAATTTGTGTACCTTTCATTACCATCTCTTGGCCATCTGGTTGAAGTTTAAGGAAGTGCACAGGAATGCGTGCATCAACACAGCAGTCATATGTTTGCGCATGTGCAATGAAATGGCTTTACAAACACCCACACAAGTACAACTACGAAACTCCCATAAACAAAATCCTGATAAGAATGCTGTCTTAACTTGAAACTAAGTGTCAGTTGTAATATTACTAGGATATGCCCTTCACCAGCTATTCAATTACGGTCCTTGCTCAACTTTTCATGATGACTGGAAATTTGGACAAGCTGCAACAGACCAGTGAGTGTAATGTTACTATAGAAGAAGACTTCCATGAAATGCAGGTGTATCGTACTTAATGATGCTAACAACATTTCAGTGAAGAAATGGTTTTCTTAGCAACTGAGCTCATGAAACCATGTGTTAAAAAAGGATATATATCAGAGATAATTTTTTAAGAGAAAAGGGCTTAGGGGAACTTCTACTTTCAATGTTCAGTCTGTACGCAAGCCCACCAGCCCACCCTGCTGGGGTTTATCCTGGTTTCCATGTAATGATGCATGAAGCGACAAGGGGTATTGCTACCCTCCCCCCCATGAGATGTTAGTCCATCGCAAGGTTACCCCCCCCTGCATTCCATCAGGCTTCCTTGACAATTTGCTGGTACCCAGTTACACTCCAGGGGGGAGAGAGGCACTGTGTGAGTAAAGTGTCTTATTCAAGAACACAACATATTGAACAGGTCTCAATCCGGGACCTTTCGACCCAGACACCAGTGCACTAACCATCAGGCCACTGAGTCTCTCCAGCTACTATTTTAATACTTCCGTTTTCATTGTTGTTATTGTTAATTAATGATGATTATTATTCTAATTTTTACTATTTTGTTTCTTTTTAACTTACATGTAATCAAATTATTCTGTTTCAGTTGAATTAGCTAAGAAAGAGGGTGTCAAAGATAAAGCCCTAATTTGGGGTTTTGAAGAATATCTGCTTTCAAAGTATGTTCGAGATAATTATTTTGGAATTGCCTTTATTCTGAACTTTTCATTTGCAAAAATTTATCCACAAAGAAACTTCATTACGAGGCAAAAATATGATGAATATGAGAGGGGAAGTAGAGTGGAACCTCGATTTAACAAAGTTCCAAGGGACTGGGGAAATTGGTTCGTTGTATCAAGGGTTCGTTGTATCGAAAACCTCGATTTAACGAATTTGGGGAAAAACAACCAAAATGTTCGTTATATCGAGGTATGTTGTGTGGTGTGAAGTTGTACTTAATGTTTATATGAAGTTACAGTACACTGTACAGGTCTGTACATAGCTACAGCACGGAAAATAAACGGTTCAACAAAATTTTAACAATTGCAACTGGCTTGTGAAATGTCATAATGAAAAGGGTTAATGAATAACGCAACCGAACAGAAACTTTAAACAAAAGAAAACCACTTTACTTTACTACTAAAATTGCTAATCACAGACAGACATCATAATTTTGTTACGGCTCGATATCATTAAGATGTATATTTAATGTTTTACCTTTGTAATACTGACTCATCATGTACTTCAGCCTTAGCTGCGCGAGTATGGAATTAAACCATCGTCATCATCAGTCAAGACGCCCAATCAAAAATTCTTCCCATGAAAACTACCTAACTTTTTGTCATTCTTTTCTTTACTACTAAAATTGCTAATCAAGACGCTTAATTGCCTCATATTTTGTCTTTCGATAAAATGCGCTTTTCATTCTAGAGAAAGAGCGGAGAAATTCCCTTTCTTTTGTGCCTGACTTGTCATTTTTTATAATGAACATCAACAGTATATACAGTATTAAACGACAGAACACTACTGTAAAGTACTGCGCTATTAGTCTGTTTCCCATTTGTCTTTGGTCGGGTGTTAATTAACAATTGGTTCATGCTTTAGCGTGCACTATCGAGTTATGGAGCACGCGGGAAGTTTGGAGAGCACGAAAGAAGCGTAAGAGTTGCCCGAGGCGATAGCCGAGGGCAACTCTAGCTTCTTGAGTGCTCTCCAAACTTCCCACGTGCTCCATAACTCGATAGTGCACAGCTGAAAGCATGAACCAATTGTTTTAGAACATAGCCGGTGGAATTGTGCATCAAAT